CAAACCCCACCCCAAACCCCAAACCCAAACCCCAAACCCCATCCCAAACCCCAACCCCAGCCCCGCCCGCTGTCCCCACCGGTGACCACGCTGGGGTCGATGTCGAAGGTGTCGTTGCCGGGGTCGATGTCCCCCCTGCGGAAGAAGCGCTGGCACAGCCGGAGCCCGCGGCCACCCTCGGGGCCACCGTAGGCGTAGCGGCCCAGGGTCTCGTTGGGGACAGCCAGGTACTGCGGGGACAGGGACACGGGGCTGGAGGTGGCACCTCAGTGTCCCCAAACCACCCCATGGCCCCAAAACATCTCTGTGTCCCCAAAATGTGGTGGCCAAGGGTCTCGTTGGGGACAGCCAGGTACTGCGGGGACAGGGACACGGGGCTGGCGGTGGCACCTCAGTGTCCCCAAACCCCCCATGACCCCAAAACATCTCTGTGTCCCCAAAACGTGGTGGCCCAGGGTTCCATTGGGGACAGCCAGGTATTGCAGGGACAGGGACAGGGACAGGGGTGGCACCTCAGTGTCCCCAGACCACCCCCATCGCGGTGACACTGCTGTGTTTTGTCCCAAAATGGTGCCACAGCTTGGGGACAAAGGCCACCGCCCTGTGAATCCCTGTTGCACCGTGGTGACACTGCTGTGCTTTGTCCCAAAACGGTGTCACCCCATGCTTGGGGACAACAGCCACCATGGTCAGGATCTGTCCCACCCTGGTGACACCCCAAAACGGTGTCACCCCGTGCCTGGGGACAAAGGCCACCGCTGCCATCAGCCCCTGTCCCACCACAGAGACGCCGCCGTGCTTTGTCCCAGGACACTCCGGTGTCCCTTTCAAAGTGTCCCCTTGTCCCTGCGCCCCCTCCCCGCTGTCCCTGGCACCTCCTTTCCAATGTCCCCGTGTCCCCTCCCTGCTGTCCCAGCCCCTCGTGCTGCCATCCCCGCTGTCCCTAACGTCCCCAAATTCCTGTGCGCCCCCGCACAGTGTCCCAGCCCCTCACCCTACTGTCCCCGCTGTCCCAGCCCACTGTCCCCAATGTCCCATGTCCCTGTGTCCCCTACCGGATCTCCAAGCCCCTCGCCCTGCTGTCCCCGCTGTCCCTGCCTGCCATCCCCGGTGTCCCCACATCCCCGCCCGCCATCGCCGCCTGCCATCCCTGCTGTCCCCGCTGTCCCCACCGGCCATCCCCGCTGTCCCAGCCCGCTGTCCCCGCCCGCCATCCCTGCTGTCCCCGCTGTCCCCACCGGCCATCCCTGCTGTCCCCGCCCGCCATCCCTGCTGTCCCCGTTCGCTGTCCCCGCTGTCCCCGCCCGCCATCCCTCTGTCCCAGCCCGCTGTCCCTGCCTGCCATCCCGGAACCCACCAAGGACCCCCAGAAACAGCTCCGAGATCCGGGACCGGACACCGGAACGGTCCCGACCGGGCTGCGAGCACCGGGACCGGACACCGGCACCGCCCGGACCGGAATCCGAGCTCCGGTAGCGAGCACCGGGGACACCCGGGACTCCCCCCACGGCCCCGGGATGTCCCCCCCGCACCCACGGCCCGGTCCCGGCAGGTACCGAGCCCGAAGGGGGGATCACGACCACCCCCGACCCAAAAATCATCCCCGGGGAGGGGAATTTGGGGACCCCGGAGACCCCCGGCAAGGGCGAACTGGGGGGTCCCGGGCGGATTTCGGGGGTCCTGAGGGTTTTTGGGGGGGGGAACCACAAACATCAAGGGGGTCCCCAAAATTTTCACCTCCCCGAAAAATTCCCTGCAGCTCTGGGGGAGGGGAGGACCCGAAATTGGGGGGAGGGTCCCCAAACCCCCGGCCCATCCTTGGGGGAAGGGAAAGCTCTGGAGGCTTCCCGTAAAGGACCGCGAGGGAACCTCTGGGTTATTTGCATAACCCCGCCCACTGAAAAAAAAAAACAAAGACAGACCACCTAGGAAAGTAAATTTATTTGCATAGCCACGCCCACATAAAAATTCAAAACTCCCGCCAAAGGCTATATTTACATAACCACGCCCAAAGCGCCCCCCAAAGCACTGCGCGCCTCTCGCCTTAACACCCACCAATCACAGCGCAGGATTCGAACTGGATTTATATAACCACGCCCACCCCGCCCCCCGCCGGCCGCAGCCGCGTCCGGGCGCCGCTCGCTCCCAGTTCCCTCCCAGCGCTCCCAGTAAGAGCGGCCCCGGCAGGGAGAGCGCTCCCAGTGTCCGCCCGCTGCTGCCAGCATCGCTGCCGCTGCTCTCCGGATCGCTGCCGGCGCTCCCGGCATCGCTGCCGGTGCCGCGCGGGCCGGGGCCGCTTGGGAACCCGCCCGGGGCAGAGCGCGGCTGCTTTTGGGGGTCGGCACCGCCCGGGCCGGGCTGGGAGCGGGGGAGCAGCGGCAGCGAGAGGGGGGACACGGGAGGGGGAGGGGAGAGGGAGGAAGAGGAAGAGGAGGGACAAAGGAAGTGGAGGAGGAGGAGAAGCAGCCCCAAGCGCGCTCCCGCCGTTGCTCGCCCGCATCCGCCGGAAGCCGCAGGTGAGCGGGGAGGGGGAGCTCGCCCCAAATCCATCGGGGGGGTCTCCCGGAGGGTTTTTTTGCGGGGCAGGGGATGTTTGGGACGTGGCACGGCGGCAAATGCCACGGTGTCCTTGTCCTTCCTCCCGCAGAGCAGGAGCTGAGCATGGAGAGCAGGGAGGACAAATCCCCGCGGCAGAACCGGGTGGCAGAGGCCGTTCTGAGCGGCTGCACGGCGCAGGAAGGCAGCGGGGAGGAAAAGCCCCGGAGATCCCTCAGCAGGACGGGCTGCAAACGCAGAGCGCGGGGATGCGAGGGGGAAAGAGCCAGGCTGGGCCGGGGAGGCGGCCGGAGCTCGGAGCTGGGGGTCCCTGAGCAGCTCCAGGATGGGGAGAAGCCCTACGAGTGCTTGGAAAGTGGGAAGAGCTTCATCCTGAGTTCCCACCTGACTGTCCACCAGAGGAGCCACACCGGGGAGAAGCCCTACGAGTGTGTGCTGTGTGCGAAGAGCTTCAGCAAAAGGTCCTACCTGATCATCCACATGCGCATCCACAGCGGGGAGAGGCCCTACGAGTGTGGTCAGTGCAGGAAGAGGTTTCAGAGCAGCTCGGATCTCCTGAAGCACCGGCGCGTTCACACCGACGAGAGGCCCTTCCTCTGCCCCGACTGCGGGAAGGGCTTCAAGCACAACTCCAGCCTCGTCACCCACCGGAGAATCCACACCGGGGAGAAACCCTACGAGTGTGGGCTCTGTGGGAAGAGCTTTGGGAGTTATTCCAGCCTGACCATCCACCAGAGGATCCACACGGGAGAACGGCCCTACGCGTGTGAGCAGTGCGGGAAGAGGTTCAGCCAGAGCTCCCACCTGACTGTCCACAAGAGGACCCACATGGGGCAAAGGCAGGGATCCAAGGGGGAAAAACCAACCCTGGGCAGCGAAGGCGGCCGGAGCTCGGAGTTGGGGGTCCACGAGCAGCTCCAGGATGGGGAGAAGCCCCACAAGTGCTCGGAGTGTGGGAAGAGCTTCGGCAAGAGATCCTACCTGCTCCGCCACTGGATTACCCACACCAAGCAACGGCCCTACGAGTGTGGGCAGTGCGGGAAGAGCTTCACCGAGCGCAACACCCTGATCAAACACCGGATGACCCACAGCGGGGAGAGGCCCTACGAGTGTGGGCAGTGTGGCAAGAGGTTCACCCAGCGCGCCCACCTGATCGTCCACCAGAGGAGGCACACCGGGGAGAGGCCGTACGAGTGCGACAAATGCAAGAAGAGGTTTCAGACCAGCTCCACTCTCGTCGTGCACCAGCGCATTCACACAGACGAGAAGCCCTTCCGCTGCCCCGACTGCGGGAAGGGATTCAGGGAAAACTCCACCCTCGTCAAGCACCGGCGCGTCCACACCGGGGAGAGGCCCTACGAGTGTCCCCAGTGTGGGAAGACTTTCAGAGAGAGCTCCCACCTGATGGTTCACCAGAGGGGCCACACTGGGGAGAGACCTTATAAGTGTGAGGAGTGCGGGAAAACCTTCACCCAGAGCTGCAGCCTGGTTGTCCACCAGAGGAACCACACGGGAGAACGGCCCTACGAGTGTGGGGAGTGCGGGAAGAGCTTCACCCAGAGCTCAGGGCTGATTGCCCACCAGATGACCCACACCGGGGAGAAGCCCTACGAGTGTGTGCTGTGTGGGAAGAGCTTCAGTACGAGCTCCTACCTGGTCAAACACCAGATGATCCACACCGGGGAGAAGCCCTACGAGTGTGATCAGTGCAGGAAAAGGTTTCAGAGCAGCTCTGATCTCCTGAAGCACCAGCGCATTCACACCGACGAGAGGCCCTTCCTCTGCCCTGACTGCGGGAAGGGCTTCAAGCACAATTCCGACCTCGTCAGGCACCGGCGCATCCACAGCGGGGAGAAACCCTTCAAGTGTGAGCAGTGTGGGAAGAGATTCTCCAGGAGATCTGCCTTGACCAAACACGAAATCAGCCAGCACTAAGGGCAGCCCTGTGAGTGCCCAGAGCGCAGGAACAGCTCCGTGCGCTGCTCCAGCTCCATCCCCTGCGGGAGGATCCGCGCTGGATGATCCCCAGGGAGCCCCGGTGATCCCTGGTGCCGGTGATCCCTGTTGGGAAGACACCTGCCTGGGGGCTCCGCATCCTGGCTCGCCGTGGCCTGGATTTTTTTTTTAATTTCTGTCCTTTCCAAACACCCAAATGCGGGGTTAAAAATAAAGATGTTGAACTAAGACAAGGATGGAGACATGGGAGCATTTTCCAGGGGATGAGGGGGATGCTGGGTCCGAGGGAGTTGAGAGTTCCTCGGACAGATTTGGAGGTTCCTCAGGGCTTTGGGCACGCCATGCCTGGTGGCTCCAGCTGTGCTGGGAGACCCTGTCAGGTTCTGGGGCCTCTGATCAAGGACCCCCTGCCCTGGAAGTGTCCTCATGTCCTCCCATCCTGGTTCCGGTTGTCCCCTGTCCAGGTTCCTGTACCCCCCATTCCTGTATCATCCCACTCCCAGTCCCATCCTGCTCCCATCCCAGTCCAGCTCCCATTCCCTGTCCTGTATTTTCTGTCTGGTTGCTGTTCCCATATTCCCAGTCCCATTCCCATTTTCCTATTCCCAGTCACAGTCTCGTTTCTGATCCCAGGCCCATCTTCCTCGTGTCTTTCCCGTATTCTCACTGTGGTTGCTGGTTCCCTATTCCCTGTCCCGTTCCAATCTTTTCCTCCCAAGTCCCATTCCAGATTCCTCTCCCGTATTCCCTGTCCCATTCCTGGTCCCTGTCCCGTAATCCCGGACCCATTCCCAATCTCTGCCTCGTATTTTCAGCCCAGTTCCCAGTCCTGGTCCCAGATCCATATTCACTGTCCCAGTCCTGTAGTCCTGGTCCCTGTATGTTATTCCCAGGCCCCATTCCCATTCCTGTCCCCAGTCCCATTCCTGTCCCCAGTCCCTGTCCCTGTCCCTGTCCCCATTCCCGGTCCCTGTCCCCATTCCCATTCCTGTCCCCAGTCCCATTACCAGTCCCTGTCCCTGTCCCCAGTCCCATTCCTGGTTCCTGTCCCGGTCCCCATTCCCGGTCCCTGTCCCTAGTCCCATTCCCTGTCCCCATTCCCATTCCTGTCCCCAGTCCCATTCCCTGTCCCCATTCCCATTCCTGTCCCCAGTCCCTGTCCCTGTCCCCAGTCCCATTCCTGTCCCCTGTCCCTGTCCCCAGTCCCATTCCTGGTTCCTGTCCCTGTCCCCATTCCCGGTCTCTGTCCCCTCTCCGGGGACTTTCTCCCGCCCACCAATCCCAGCGCGCGATCTCTCCCAGATTTGCATAACCACGCCCGCCGGGGCTGGCCCCGCCCCCGCCGGCCGCAGCCGCGTCCGGGCGCCGCTCGCTCCCAGTTCCCTCCCAGCGCTCCCAGTAAGAGCGGCCCCGGCAGGGAGAGCGCTCCCAGTGTCCGCCCGCTGCTGCCAGCATCGCTGCCGCTGCTCTCCGGATCGCTGCCGGCGCTCCCGGCATCGCTGCCGGTGCCGCGCGGGCCGGGGCCGCTTGGGAACCCGCCCGGGGCAGAGCGCGGCTGCTTTTGGGGGTCGGCACCGCCCGGGCCGGGCTGGGAGGGGGGGAGCAGCGGCAGCGAGAGGGGGGACACGGGAGGGGGAGGAGAGAGGGAGGAAGAGGAGGGACAAAGGAAGAGGAGGAGGAGCAGGAGGAAGAGGAAGAGGAGGGACAAGGCACGAGGAGGAGCGGGAGGAGGAGCAGCTCCCACGCGGTTCCCCCGCTGCGGCCGCAGCTCGCCCGGATCCGCCGGCATCGCCCCCCGGAACCCGCAGGTGAGCGGGGAGGGGGAGCTCGCCCCAAATCCATCGGGGGGGTCTCTGGGATGGTTTTTTTTGCAGCCCCGGGAACGTTTGGATGGTGCAGGAGCGCAAAGCTGAGCGGGAAATGTCCCTGGAGGGATCTTGGGGGGTCCTGGGTGGAGATCGCCCGGTACCGGCGGGCACGGGGGCAATCTCGGCTTTGGGGATGCCCGGGGGGAAGGCGGGAGGCCCGGAGCGGGGAGAGAGCAGAGGGGCGATCCCGGAGCCCGGGCAGCCCCGGCAGCCTGGAGGGGTGGGGGAGGCTGGGGATGAGCGGGCTCCGGGCCCCCCGAGGCTGAAAGGGGCGCTGACTTCTCCAGCTGGCCCTGGGCAGCGGCACCATCAAAGGCAACGCGCTCAGCCCGTGTTCTCCCCCAAAGCAGGATTTCCCTTTGCCAAACATCGGCCCCATGGAGGAGGAGGCCGTGAGGAAGAGGAAGATGTCCCGGGTGCCACAGGCAGGTGAGGAGGAAGTCGGTGCCCTGTCCCCTTTCTCCTGCTCCATCTCCCAGCCCAGCACGGCCCCCGGCTGCAGCACAGCCCTGCTGGGGACGCCGTCCTGCTGGGGACACGCTGGGGGTGATCTCCTTGCCCTTCTGTGTATCACGGCGGCAAATGCCACGGTGTCCTTGTCCTTCCTCCCGCAGAGCAGGAGCTGAGCATGGAGAGCAGGGAGGACAAATCCCCGCGGCAGAACCGGGTGGCAGAGGCCGTTCTGAGCGGCTGCACGGCGCAGGAAGGCAGCGGGGAGGAAAAACCCCGGAGATCCCTCAGCAGGACGGGCTGCAAACGCAGAGCGCGGGGATGCGAGGGGGAAAGAGCCAGGCTGGGCCGGGGAGGCGGCCGGAGCTCGGAGCTGGGGGTCCCTGAGCAGCTCCAGGATGGGGAGAAGCCCCACGAGTGCTCGGAGTGTGGGAAGAGCTTCCCGTGCAGATCCAAACTCATCCTGCATAGCAGAATGCACACGCAGGAGAGGCCCTATGAGTGTGGGGAATGTGGGAAGAGCTTCAAATGGCAATCCAACCTGACCATCCACTGCAGAATCCACACCGGGGCGAAGGGCCACGAGTGTCCCCAGTGTGGGAAGAGGTTCACCCAGCGCTTCCACCTGATCAGACACAAGATGATCCACAGCGGGGAGAGGCCCTACGAGTGTGATCAATGCAAGAAAAGGTTTCACACCATCTATGATCTCCTCAGTCACCAGCGCATTCACACAGACGAGAAGCCCTTCCGCTGCCCGGACTGCGGGAAGGAATTCAGGCACAACGCCGGCCTCGTCACCCACCGGCGCATCCACACCGGGGAGAAACCCTACGAGTGTGGGGAGTGTGGGAAGAGCTTCAGTACGAGCTCCAGCCTGGTGGTCCACCAGAGGATGCACAGCGGGGAACGGCCCTACGAGTGTGGGGAGTGCGGGAAGAGCTTCAGCCGGAGCGCAGGGCTGGTTGTCCACCAGAGGATCCACACAGGAGAACGGCCTTATGGGTGTGGGAAGTGTGGGAAGAGCTTCTCAGGGATCCCAGGGCTGATTGCCCACCAGGTGATCCACACTGGGGACAGGCCCTACGAGTGTGGGCAGTGTGGGAAGGGCTTCCGCTCAAGCTCCTACCTGATCAGACACCGGATGATCCACACCGGGGAGAAGCCCTACGAGTGTGATCAGTGCAAGAAGAGGTTTCAGAGCAGCTCTGATCTCCTGAAGCACCAGCGCATTCACACAGACGAGAAGCCCTTCCGCTGCCCCGACTGCGGGAAGGGATTCAGGAACAACTCCTACCTCGTCACCCACCGGCGCATCCACACCGGGGAGAAACCCTTCGAGTGTGGGCTCTGTGGGAAGAGCTTCAACAGAAGCTCCTCGCTGATCAAACACCGGAGGAGCCACACCGGGGAGAAACCCTACGAGTGTGGGCAGTGTGGGAAGAGATTCTCCAGTAGCTCTGCCTTGACCAAACACCAAATCAGCCAGCACTAAGGGCAGCCCTGTGAGTGCCCAGAGCGCAGGAAGAGCTCCGTGCGCTGCTCCAGCTCCATCCCCTGCGGGAGGATCCGCGCTGGATGGTCCCCAGGGAGCCCCGGTGATCCCTGGTGCCGGTGATCCCTGTTGGGAAGACACCTGGGGGCTCTGCATCCTCCTGGCTCGCCGTGGCCTGGACTTTCTTTTAATTTCTCTCCTTTCCAAACACCCAAATGCGGGGTTAAAAATAAAGATGTTGAACTAAGACAAGCATGGGGACATGGGGGGATCTTCCAGAGGATGAGGGGGATGCTGGGTGCGAGGGAGTTGAGAGTTCCTCGGACAGATTTGGGGGTTCCTCAGGGCTTTGGGCATGCCACAACCTGCGGCTCCGACTGTGCTGGGAGACCCTGTCAGGTTCTGGGGCCTCTGATCAAGGACCCCCTGCCCTGGCAGTGTCCCCATGGCCTCCTGTCCTGGTTCCTGCTGTCCCCCCTCGCAGATCCCCCTCTCCCTGATATCGCCCTCCACCTGTGCACTTATTACCAAACTCCGGGTCCCAAGCTGCTCTCATCTGACTCTGGATGAGATGGAGTCTCATTTGGAGTCAGGCCATTCCTGACCTCAAAATCTATCCCCGTCCCATATTCTCTATCGGGTTGCTGTTCCTGTATTCCCAGTCACGTATTCCCTGTCCTGTTCCCCTTTTCCTGTTCCATCTCCTGGTGCCAATCCTGCCTTCCCATTTCCATATTTCCTGTCCCGTTCCCATTTTCTGATTCCTGACTCTGATCCCAGTCCCTCTCCTGCACTGGCGGTGCCTTTTCCCTTTCCCCGTCTCTGTCCCCATTCCCGGATCCTGTCCCCATTCCTGGTCCCTGTCCCAATTCTAGGACCGTGTGTCCATACCCATTCCCTGATCCCATGCCCGGTCCCCATTCCTGGTCCCTGTCCCCATTTCCATTCCCCGTCGCCGTTCTCCATCCTCATGCCCGGCGGGGATGCGAGGGGGAAAGAGCCAGGCTGGGCCGGGGAGGCGGCCGGAGCTCGGAGCTGGGGGTCCCTGAGCAGCTCCAGGATGGGGAGAAGCCCCACGAGTGCTCGGAGTGTGGGAAGAGCTTTAGATGGAGATCCTCCCTGATCCGCCACTGCAGAATCCACACCGGGGAACGTCCCTACGAGTGTGGGGAGTGTGGAAAGAGCTTCAACACAAGCTCCTACCTGATTGTCCACCAGCGCATCCACAGCGGGGAGAGGCCCTACGAGTGTGGGCTGTGCGGGAAGAGCTTCATGCTGAGCTCTCACCTGATCGTCCACCAGAGGAATCACACGGGAGAGAGGCCCTACGAGTGCGACAAATGCAAGAAGAGGTTTCAGACCAGCTCCACTCTCCTGAGTCACCAGCGCATTCACACAGAGGAAAGGCCCTTCCGCTGCCCCGACTGCGGGAAGGGATTCAGGGAGAAATCCACCCTGGTCACCCACCAGCGCATCCACACCGGGGAGAGGCCCTACGAGTGTGGGCTCTGTGGGAAGAGCTTCAACACGAGCTCCTACCTGATGGTCCACCAGAGGATGCACAGCGGGGAACGGCCCTACGAGTGTGGGCAGTGTGGGAAAAGCTTCACCCGGAGCTCGCAGCTGATTGTGCACTACCGGAGCCACACCGGGGAACGGCCCTACGAGTGCCCCCAGTGCGGGAAGGGCTTCACCTGTAGCTCCAACCTGATTGTCCACCAGAGGAGCCACACAGGGGAGAGGCCCTACGAGTGCGATGAATGCAAGGAGAGGTTCCAGAGCGTCGGTGATCTCGTCGTGCACCAGCGCTCGCACGCAGAGGAGAAACCCTTCCGCTGCCCTGACTGCGGGCAGGGCTTTGAGCACAACTCCACCCTCAACGAGCATCAGTGCACCCACACGAGTCCCTGTGAGTGTGGGGAATGTGGGAAGAGCTTCAGCGAGAGCTCCAGCCTGGTTGTCCACCAGAGGAACCACGTTGGCGAGAGACCCTACGAGTGTGACCAGTGCAAGAAGAGGTTTTACACCAGCTCCACTCTGCTCAGTCACCAGCGCACTCACAGCGAGGAGAGGCCCTTCCTCTGCCCCGAGTGCGGGCAGGGCTTTAAGCACAACTCAGCCCTCGTCATCCACCAGCGCATCCACACCGGGGAGAGGCCCTACGAGTGTGATCAGTGCTGGAAGAGTTTCCACTCCACGTCCGATCTCCTCCTGCACCAGCGCATTCACACCGACGAGCGGCCCTTCCGCTGCCCCGACTGCGGGATGGGCTTCAAGCACAACTCCAGCCTCGTCAAGCACCGGCGCACCCACACCGGGGAGAAACCCTACGAGTGTTGGCAGTGTGGGAAGAGCTTCAGTACGAGCTTCAGCCTGATCGTCCACCACAGGATCCACACGGGAGAACGGCCCTACGAGTGCGGGCAGTGCGGGAAGAGCTTCAGCCAGAGCTCAGGGCTGGTCGCTCACCAGAGGATCCACACGGGAGAACGGCCCTACGAGTGTCCCCAGTGTGGGAAGAGCTTCACGCAGAGCTGTAACTTGACCAAACACCAGTGCAGCCGGCACTGTGGGCCGCCCAGAGAAGAGGAAGAGCTCCGTGCGCTGCTCCCGCTGCCTCCCCTGTGGGAGGATCCGCGCTGGATGATCCCCGCGGAGCCCCGGTGGGCAGAGCCCCGGTGATCCCGGTTGGGAAGACACCTGCCTGGCGGCTCGGCATCTTCCTGCCTCCCCGTGTCCCGTATTTCCTTTTAATTTCTCTCTGTCCTTTCCAAACGCGGGGTTAAAAATAAAGATGTTTAATTAAAACAAGGACGGGCACGTGGAGGGATCTTCCAGGGGATGCTGGGTCCGAGGGAGTTGAGGGTTTCTGGGGGGATCTTGGGGGTTGCTCCGGATTTTGGGCACGCCAGGCCCAGCGGCTCCGTCTGGGACAGCTGATCCGGGACTCTCCACCCTGGAATTGTCCCCGTGTCCTGCTCTCCCTGTCCTGCAGGCCCCTCTCCCCACGGTCACTTGCGTTGCCCCCCGCCTCATTCCCGTGTCACTCCTGGTCCCCTCCTGCTCCCATCCCAGTCCGGATCCCGTTCCCTGTCTCATTTTCTGTCCCATATTCTCGGTCTGGTTGCCATTCCCGTGTTCCCAGTCCCCATTCCCTGTCCATTTCCTGTCCCCGTTCCCTGTCCTGTCCCTGTTGTCCTGTTCTCTGTCCCGCGTTTCCATTTATTTATTCCCTGTCCCCATTCCCAGTCCCGTACTCCTGGTCCCAGTCCCCTATTCCCATTCCCAGTCCCATATTCCCAACCCTAGTCTCATATTCCCAGTCCCAATCCCATATTCCCATTCATAGTCCCATATTCCCAGTTTCATATTCTCATTCCCAGTCACAAATTTCCATTCCTAATCCCATATTCCCAGTCTCATAATCCCAGTCCCATATTCCCAGTCCCATTTTCCCATTCCCATTCCCATATTCCCAGTCCGTGTCCCCTATTCCCATTCCCACTCCCATTTTTCCATTCCCAGTCCCATTTTCCCATTCCCAGTCCCACATTCCCATTCCCAGTCCCACATTCCCATTCCCAGTCCCATATTTCCATTCCCATAATCCCAATCCCATTTTCCCATTCCCAGTCCCATTTTCTCATTCCCAGTCCCATTTTCCATTCCCAGATTCCCATTCCCATAATCCCAATCCCATTTTCCCATAATCCCAGTCCCATATTCCCATTTCCAGTCCCATCCTGCTATTCCCTGTCACATTCCCAGTCCCATATTTCCATTCCCATAATCCCAATCCCAAATTCCCATTCCCAGTCCCATATTCCCATTCCCATAATCCCAGTCCCATAATCCCAATCCCAAATTCCCATTCCCAGTCCCATATTCCCATTTCCAGTCCCACATTCCCAGTCCCATATTCCCATTCCCATAATCCCAATCCCAAATTCCCAATCCCAAATTCCCATTCCCAGTCCCATATTCCCATTCCCATAATCCCATTTCCAATCCCATTTTTCCATTCCCAGTCCCATAATCCCATTCCCATCATCCCATTCCCATTC